CCCCCCCTCCCATTAAAAGTCTTGTTTTTTCTGTGTGCCCTTGCATAAATATGTTACGTAAAACTAAAGTACAGGATATTTTACTTTTAACATGATTTCAAACACTCTTTTTTTTGAAGAGCTATTGATATAAAAAGTCCATATAAATCCGTGAGCAATTATGTTATCCCCAGTTTTCCACTTTTAGTGTAAAAGTGTCGCAATATTTTCTATAATCTCACTCATTTCCTATTCATTATGCAGTACTTTGTGATCAGATGAACAGACTTTTTAGATCCAGACAAAATCGGATAAATGTCCCTTTTGCTATGAATTGATGACGTTATGTCGTATTTTCGGGAAAATGTCCTGACAGGTGCAAAAATGCAAAGTTGATTTTCTTAAGGACATATTGTGAGTTATCTATGGTTGCTAGCTTGCGTTTACTGGTGGGATGAAATACCTCCAAAATATTTAATACTTTCAGGTAGATACTTATCAAGGTAAATACTTTTCAGGTAATTACTTTTCAGGTAAATAATTTTCCAGGTAATACTTTCTTAGGTAATTGCTTTTCAGGTAGATACTTTCTCAGGTAGATACTTTTCCAGGTAATACTTTCTTAGGTAATTGCTTTTCAGGTAGATACTTTTTCAGGTAGATACTTTCTCAGGTAGATACTTTTCAGGTAGATACTTTTTTAAATATATACTTTTCATGTAGGTACTTTTTAGGTAGATACTTTTCAGGTAGATACTTTTTAGGTAGATACTTTTCAGGTAGATACTTTTCAGGTAGATACTTTGTAGGTAGTTACCACTTTTTCAGGAAGATATTTTTTAGGTAGATACTTTTCAGGTAGATACTTTCAGGTAGATACTTTTTAGGTAGATACCACTTTTAGTGGAAGGAAATAAAAGAATTAGAGGGAAATGGAAAAAATTGTCACTTTCCGGACTATCTATATAATTATGCTCTTCGCTCATGTGTATGTTTGCTATAGCAAGCCCAGTACGCCTGAACCAAATTGGCTGAATATTTGGTTTATGGAATCCATGAGTACCATAGAGGTGACAGACTAAAATAATTGAATTATTAAAAATTCCACGGGCAACCATGGGCACTGCGAAAATCATGATTTAAGACCAAGTGCGGGTAAACGGCGGGAGTAACTATGAGCAACCTGGACAACACTGGTCAATTTAGCTAGAAATCCTTAAAATCACAATAGCCAAAGTTAGAAAATAGAACAAAAAAGACCAGATGGATATCAATAAAAAGACCAGATGGATATCAATAAAAAGACCAGATGGATATCAATAAAAAGATCAGATGGATATCAATAAAAAGACCGATGGATATCAATAAAAAGATGGAATGAGGTCTACTACTTTTAATTGTACAGAGCTTAAAACTTTAGAATGGTGGATATCGAGATTAATGCTTGATCCTCTCTTTTTCTTAATATCGAGACTAACCTAATCATGTACTTGTATCCTGAAAAGTGTATAAAATTCTACCAATCAGAGTCTCGTATATGAAGCCGATAAATTTGAAAGGGAGGGACACTCTCATTTTTAAAAACCGGTTTTTGATTTTTCTCAACTATATCCAAGAAAAAACAGTTTAAGAAGAAAATCAAAAGTGTGTTCATTGGATATTCAGATTAAGTAATCGGGATTAAGGATATCTCATTCTAAAGTTTTCAGCTCCGGCTGCATTAAGATGCGGAATATTTTTTTTATTATATTAAATATTTGAGGTGTATCTGGTTGGACAGGAGGGTATATGTGTATGAATATAGGACTCTACTCCTACATATCCGATACAAGTTCTATCCAGAACCGTACTTCAAGACTTTCAATCCTAACCGGAGTTTTCGGCCTGGGCAACATGATCGGAGTTCAGATTGGCGGCCATGTTTCAAACGACTTTGTAATATTTGTTGCGGCAACGCTCCTGGGTGTTTTAGGGATATTTTACACTGCGTTTATCATCGAGGAAAGTCTGGATAAAAGTAAGCAACTGCATGGGAAACAATCAGCAGTCAACCAGGTGCTGGGTTGCTTGAAAACTACAGTAAAGAAGAGACCAGGCCGGGATAGGATGATGGTGTTTATCTCCTTGTTCCAGTTCATGTGCTTCATGCTGTGCATCAACACGGTGGAGTTTGATTACTTGATGACCAGGCTGAAGTTTTCCTGGACCAGAAAGGATTATGGAAACTTTCTTACAGCTAAAGGCTGCAGTCGGATAGTAGGTACATAACACATTATCAAACTTTTTGAAGAAAAAACATTAAAGGAATATTTTCATCCTTATATCTTTGCAACCCAACGTCGAGAGGACCTTTTACATTTAAACTATGAATTTTTCTAGCTCACTTGGTGACAAAGTTTGAAATATCGAAGGTCTACACCATCAGTTTGCAAAGATTTAGGATTCAAAAAATTAAAAAATTCTTGAAATAGGAATAAATTATTAAAAAACTAATGTTTAAGGTTTGTGGATTCTCCTTCCCTTGGTCTCAAAATATTTCAAGGTTTTATTTAATATTATTAGAAAATATTTCAAGGTTTTATTTACTATTGTTAGAAAATATTTCAAGGTTTTATTTACTATTATTAGAAAATATTTCAAGGTTTTATTTGCTATTAGTAGAAAATATTTCAAGGTTTTATTTACTATTATTAGAAAATATTTTAAGGTTTTATTTACTATTATTAGAAAATATTTCAAGGTTTTATTTACTATTAATAGAAAATATTTCAAGGTTTTATTTACTATTATTAGAAAATATTTCAAGGTTTTATTTACTATTACTAGAAAATATTTCAAGGTTTTATTTACTATTACTAGAAAATATTTCAAGGTTTTATTTACTATTAGTAGAAAATATTTTAGAAAAGGTTTAAATCGTGTTTAAGAATAATTTTTTATTTTTGTTTTAATTTAGATTCGTGACAGTGTAGTGATCAGTTTTAGCTGTTTAATCACTAGGAAACCAGACTATTCATATTAGAATTTAGAAAATATTAAAATCTAAATAATTCGAAATAAATTTTTGCCGCAGCCCCCAATACAGTTTGAGTCTAGTTCTAACGTAATAAGAATTAAAAACAAACAAAAGGAATTATTGTTAAATGAAGCTGACGCATGTACAATTATATTTATATAAATATTAAGATTATAAAAATTAATTAAAAGTGCAAGCTATCAAAAAAAATTGGATAAAACTGTTAATCAAGGCTGATTACAAGTATAGGGTGTTCAAATGGAAAAATTATTGCATATTTTACGCGCAATTTCTGCTTTCTTGCATCACCTACATTGCTCATGAACATTTTTGCACAAATTCCGCTTTTTGTGTGAATTTGCTTATCGGCGGACCCAATATCTGCTTCACTTATGTTTCTGCGTGTGCGTGTATATTTGGAAAGTAATAACGACATTAAACTGCAAAACATGTAATTGTTAGGAAATATGTTTCTATGAAAAAGTAAAATAAAAATATTATGGAAACAGTACTATTCCGTATCCGGTTAACAGTAATTGTATACTAAAGACAACGTCCTGCGTACAGGGTGGACATTTAAAAAAGACATTTATTTGAAATTGCAGGCTCAAAGTTTTGTAATTTGATACATATAGATATAATATATAAGATATCTATTTAAACGAACCCTTAACATTTTAAGAGATATATCAATTATAAAAATTAAAATTTCTTAAACTGTACTGTGTATTGTATTTACTTTAATGTTTATATTCAAAAAAACATGTTTTTAGAGAAAGATAGATAATTTGTAATAATGACAATTCTAAATGATTTGAATTCAATTGTTTAAACTAAGAATTCCTAAATCAATTCTTTTCATGGCTGCTCCGAATATCTATACTAGGTACAGGGTGTCCCAGAAAACATGGGAATTCAGTGACGAATTGGATATCGTCTTTGTTATGAATTGGAACTGTAATACATAATTTCAAAAGCCATAATAGTATTATGTCTGCTAGGATTTATTTTATGAAAAGGGTAAAAGACTGTAAAGATGTGTCTGTAATGTCTCCGCAAGATGAACAGTGAAGACGGACAAGTTTACTCTGTTTGTATACTGCAATTTTCTTGTTTTATTAAGTACAACCGTATGCAGTCAAAACATAAACAAACAAAATGTGAACATAGCAGACGAAATTCTTACAGATTACAGCTTTCTCAGTAGGTATCACTATACTAAATCAAAGAATTATTTAAAAAGACGATATCGAATTCGTCACTGAATTCCCATGTTTATTGCGACACCCTGTATCTCCAATGTATTGTGTGTACTAAAGTATGTACATTTCTGCCATACAAACTGTATTCATAAACTTTCTGGACAAACGTTCCGATTAAATAGTCAACAGACATATGATATAACCCAACTAATTGTCCTGGTTCCCCTATAGTGCTAGCTATCTCCTTCAAGTTGTTGGATCACCTTCCTGGGGCGGGGATTGGCCTCTCTTCCTAGCCGTAGCGCTACAACTTAACTTTGTTGGAAGTGTGGGTATAAGGTAATCTACTATGTAGTACTTCCTACCCGCAGTGCTATTATTTACTTTGTTTTAATTCCTAGCCGCAGTGCTACAATCTATTAGTTATTACTTCCTAGCCGCAGTGCTACAATCTATTATTTACTACTTCCAAGCCGCAGTGCTACTATCTATTAGTTATTACTTCCTAGCCGCAGTGCTAATATGCATTAAGTACTATATACTTCCTAGCCGCTGTACTACAATCTAGTATGTACTACTTCCTAGCCGCAGTGCTACAATCTAGTATGTACTACTTCTTAACCGCAGTGCTACTAGGTATTAAGTACTACTTCCTAGCCACAGTCCTACAATCTATTATTTACTACTTCCTAGCCGCAGTGCTACAATATAGTATTCACCACTTCCTAGCCGCAGTGTTACTGCCTATGTTTTAGGAAGTGTTTCTAGCGCTGCAGAAAAATTTTATTGTAAGACATGTGACGTTACTCGTTGGACTCAAATCATAAAATATAAATATTCTGCAAAAAAGAAATTTAATTATGAATTTTCTTTAAAAAAATGTTGACCTAAATTCATGAAAAACATCTAAAATAGATTTAATGATTTAAGATCTCGACTGAGTAAGATAGTTGGAAACCTAGAGGTTGGGCAAATTTTTGCTATTATTGGTATTGGACAAGCTATTGTTGCTCTCATATCACACAGGTAATAGAACCAGGAACTCTCCCAGAGGAACCGAGCTTTTGCCACAAACTCAAATTTTCTAATCCCTATATCTCAGCAATCTGAAGGTGTAAACTTTTGATGTTTTAAACTTAGAGTATTTGATCTACCAGAATTTATAGTTCCATTGTTTACAAATAAAGTGTACTGCAGTTTCCTGGAGGTATGTGAACAGACTGATCTTTGTTTATATTCCCAGAAACAGCACTGCAGTACACATTATTTGAAAACAAAAAGCTATGAATATTCCTTATTGGTTTTTACTTCTACTTGAAAGATTATTTCAATTTAACAGTAAGAGTTACAATGGCACGCTACATCAAGTTAATATTTTTAAAAATTAAATAAAAAAGTTAATATTGTGCTTTGAAATATCCTCCAGCATAAAATGAACTTCTACTGTTATTTTCTTCTAAAAATAAATCTTTAATTAATAAAGTTTTAGCTTTTCTAGTCCAGATATAGAAATCAGTTTTTGCCACAATCTCAAATCTTTACAACCTGATGGTGTAAACCTATGATATTTTAAAGTTAGATTATTTAATAGAACTCATTAAAAGTTGGTTTATTACATCGGGTTAAGAATATATAAAAATAAGAAAATCCGACCAAAAACTCAGCCGCTTTGTTTAATTTAATTTTTTTAGTTTCTTTGGCGTTATTTACAACAAGACTTTGAGTGTCTACCCAACCAGTTACCTCATACCTATAGTTGGTCTTCTTTTCATCAGTTTTCTACTCACTTTCCTAGATCATAATCTTTACTCAGGGAATAGGAACTCAGTGGCTCCGAGTCCTAACGTACCTTTGGAAACCAATAATATAGACTTGAAACCTGTTACCAACTTGTAGTTCTTACTCAAAACTATATATTACAATGCAATATAAAATTTATTTGTTAACTAAATGTAAAAGAATTCCAATAAACATAGGATTCAGTTGCGACATTTTAAATTTTTTATCTTCAAAAATAAATGCGGTGAAAGTAAATTTTTTAAATATAAGCATTTGTAGATGGTGTAGTATTGTTTATACAGATGTTTATCTTCATCTTCATCTTTATCGTAAATTATGATTTTAAAAAAGGATACTGTTAAAAATTTATTTTCAGGATTCAGAGAAATGGTTGGATATTTATGTTGGGATAAAAACATTAATTTATGCACTTAATTCCTGTACATTTGGATTCGTTCGAAATAAATGGTATAATTTCAAAGAATTAAATATTTTTTTTTGTTTAGTTGAAAAAAAAATGTTTTATAGCAAATAATTGTTGTTATTAAAGATAAGTGTTTATTCAGTAAAATAAAAGTATGAATCAAATATTTATTTATAAATAAAAATTTGCTTTATTCGAGAATGAATGCATCGTTTATGTAACCATCCAGATCTTCCTATAATTAAAATGTGATTACATTTTTTTCATGATTTTGATTTAAAAACTATAATTACATAAATATAATAACATTGTTATTTTAAATCTATTTAAATCTATTGTATTTAGTGCAGTGTGGTCTGCATAATCTAATCTTGTATTTGGTGCAGTGTGGTCTGCAATCTAATCTTGTATTTGGTGCAGTGGGGTCTGCAAAATCTAATCTTGTATTTAGTGCAGAGTCCATGAAAATATAATTTGATTGAGCTGGGATAGTAAAATCGTTGCAACGCAAAAAATATTTCTCATTTAGAAATGTTTAAAAGAGAAAAAAACATCTCTAATCTAATCTTTTGAATAAAATGTCACACATTTTTCCTTGAATATTAGAGACAACTTTTCATCAGAAATTACCTCCTCTTTTTTAGCTTCACCTAAAAGAAATAGATTAATATGCTTCAAAAGGTCATCATTAGTTTTCAAAATACATTGCTGGTCAGTCTCACCCTGTATAAAGTGTATATCTTCTATTTTATCTGTAGGATTTAAGGTATCTTGTATCTCAGCTTTCTCAACTCCTGATGCTTCTTTAGCTCTTTCACCTCCTTCAACTTCATCTGCTCTTTCAACTCCTGCTGCTCCATTTACTCTATTCGCAACTGCTTCTTCATCTGTTCTTTCAACTCCTGCTGCTCCATCTACTCTACCAGCAACTGCTTCTTCATCTGCTCTTTCAACTCCTGGTGCTCCATCTGCTCTTTCAACTCCTGGTGCTCCATCTGCTCTTTCAGCAACTGCTACTTCATCTGGGGTTTGAGAATTCTCAGCTGCTTTATTTTCACTAACTCCAGGAACTGTTGAATCATCATCATTGCTGAAAGGCCTGTCAGCTTTTTTGCAATCAGCAATTTCTTTTCCTGTTGCATCAGCTTTAAATGCTGGATCATCTTCTTCTTCATCTGGATAAAATAAAACTAAATAATTAATCGAATTATACTTTTACAGCATTGACAATGTTGTAATGAGTTAACTGAAGATATTAATAACATTGTAAAATGTAAAATACATGAGGTGTACACAATACATGTATACATATTTGGTAAAATGTATGAACAGGAACAAAATTTTTCGATATATTTTTGGGAATGAATACAAATCGTCAAAACCACAGTGATTAACAAAAAGATGAATAATGAAAATCGACATTTTGTTTTTTGTCTTATTTCGGTTTTGTTTATTAAGATTTTTCATCTTTTCTGCCTAGCTACCTTGTTTGGTGTGAATTGTATCCTGGAAAATTGGTGAGAAAATATCATCAATTATTCCCGTGTAGTTTTCAACTGGACAATCTGGTGAACTGAAACAAACAGAAAGTACAAACCTAAAGTTTGGAAAATTCAAGATACGTCTAGCATTAGTATATTGTAATACAGTACAGTGGTAGGCGATTATATCAATACAATAAAGACTACTTTCAATTTTGATATTGATTTATAGCAAGCTGTTAAACAGAATGGAAACACTTAAACATACAAGTCAAGTGAGTTTGTGAATTAATTACTTGTAAACTTGTAATACGAAAAAAGCTTTTTTACAATCAAAAACTTAAATAAAAAGTCGTCTTCATTGTATTGATATAATTGCCAACAACACTACACTGCTGACAGATCTAAAGGAAAAATGGTGTTTTTAACAATATTCTGTTTGTATACTAGTGTACTAATCTAACCTTTTCGGAAAAGAAAGTGAGCCTGTTCTCTCCACAATGTACTGTATACAAAGAAACATACATACAAACCTAATTTAAAGTTTTGCATAATTTTTCTTCGTAAATTCAGGGATATGAAATCATTTTCGATGCTATAGGAAAAATAAAAAGGGAATTAAAAAGGCAAGTTTTTTTTAACCCTATTTGATACTTTTGCACAATAATGTCATCAAATGTTTCGCTCAAAAAATATTTTCCTCTTTTTCCGACCCATTATATAGAATATTAACAAATATGTTTTTTTTTCCTTGTTTTGTCTTTGAACATAAATTTCAGATATTTCCAAACTTGACTCCTCGTCAATTACAGGAATCTTTTTCACCCTAAACATTTTTTATTTAATATTTGAATAAGTATTTCCTGAGCTTCTTGAAAACTTGAATCTTAAACATTAATTGTAAACTACTCTTTCCTTGTACATTAAAACTTAACACTCTGGATAGGTTGACTGGAAATTAAACCTTTATTCTCTCTTTAAAATGAAAATTTTTTATTTTTTACCCACAGGGTACGAAACATGACAGTTGATAAATAGTTTTAAATGTCGTCTTCCATACACTGTATTGGATATTAAAGGCTGTTTACAGTTTTATTCGTTTAAAAAATCTTTTGCTCAAATATATTTTACTTCGAAGTTAATTTTACTATAATATGACTCCTATAATTTTTATTATATTTTTATATATAATATTTTTATTATGGTCTTTGGTATTAAACAACTTGACAAATCATGGAAGAAGACATTTTAAACTATTTACCATCTGTCATGTTTCGTGGGACACCCTGTATGTATCTTTAAATCTTGGACCTTAAACCCTAGATTTTAAACTAGGACCGAATTGAAATACTTTGAGCTACGTCGCTGAACTACATACTTTCGGTTCAAGTTTGAACAACCGATTCAAAGTTAAAGATTAAAGATTGAATCTGTGAACAGTTCAAATTCAGTAAACTCGGTTCCAAGTATCTTAAACCTAGAATCGCAATTGAGCTCTAAACTCTAAACCTTAAGCTTAGAGCCACAAACTTTTAAATAGGATCTTGAAACTTGTGTCCTAAGCCTTGAACTTAAAACTGAAACTTTTACATTGAACCTTATTCTTTTCAATTTATAATTTTCCATAAAGGACACGACATCAGCGACAACTTTACGAAAGTTATTTAGTATTTTTTCTAAATTAATGGCTCCCCGAAGCCGCACACTTGTACATATAAAGAGTTTCAGGTCGTTGTAAAATCTCATTCTTTATGTATATTGTATAATCCCATGTATAAGTCCCTGCCTGAAATCTGCCCTGTTTTCTGTGAAGTTCTCAGATTCATCTCCAGATTCGGCTAGATTACTGAAATATAGATTTTTTTTTGTCTTTTAAACAATGATTTTCGATTTTTCGAATATGTCGTGATCTTTCAATGTTTGGAAGTTTTAGGTTTAAAAAGATAATTTTATGTTTATTTCTTAAAATTGTTCATTTATATCATTTACAATAAAACTTACTTGAAAAATGCTTTCATGCAATGTTGGTAACCATCTGATAAATTTGAATGTTCTGAGACATAGACTTTTAAATTAACTTAATTTTATGCTTCAATTCCATACGAGAACTGAAACTGTTTAACTTATCTATCTAATTTGTATTTTTACCAAAAAAATATTGTTTCTTTTTTGCTTTGATGCAATAAAATTTAATTAAATCGAAATCTAATACGAGAGAAGAGATTTTGGTAATTTTGATTGGTTTGAATGAACTATTTAAATTTTTCAAATTATATTTTCTTTTTACTCAAAAGTTTTAAGCTCTGGTCAGAATCTTTTAAAATAGAAGAAATTGGCAGTATTTTATTACTTTACTTTGGCCATGCAGTTCAAGTTTGATGTTTATTTATTTTTTATTTATTTATTTATTTATTTATTTAATTATTTATATTATTTCTAGAAAATAAAAGAATATTCCTGATTGTTTAGTTTGAAGATTATCCACTGCCAACAAAACTTCTGCGTTGGGTTCTAGACATTCATAACTTTCATTATTTAGTTGTAAAAGTAAAAATATAATTTTCTTATAATCCAAAACTTAAATAGTTGAAATTTTTGTTTTATCTTCGACACTTTCTTAATGTTTCTGAACGAAAAGTATGCCTGATGTGTTTCCAGTATTGTCTTGATTTTGATCTTGAGTTTGAGATATATCCTGAGATTGAGCGAGATCTTGAGTTTGAGAGATATCCTGAGATTGAGCGAGATCTTGATCTTGGTCTTTATTTTGAAATGGAGCCAATTGTTCATCATTGCCAGACTCAGAACTGCTACTGGAGCTCGGATCAAACTCTGCTGAAATTGCAGTTATCATGAAGAACGTGAAACTAAAGTAAAATGCACGTAATATATGTTTTTCATCTATAAATCCACTTTTTGAAGAGATATTGAGAAGAACAAAAATATTTTAAAATTCATAAAATATAACCGAATAAATTTGGTATTCCATAATTGTGCCTCAATTCAGAACTTGAGGAGAAACGAGGTCACAAATTCGTAAGAATAATATCAATTGAGTTTGACCTTCTCCTCCTGGTTATGGAAATGTCAAAAGTTTTTTCCCCGTAATCTTCACAACTTTTGTAGTGGGAAACATATTTCAAGGTTTGTTTATATCCTCATCAAACCATTAGAATTTTATTTGCTTGTTTTTTTATTAAATTTTACCATTTTCTCCCTGAGTTTTATTATTGTCTTCATCATCAGGGATAATATCTGGTTTACTAGAATCCAGTTTCTAAACAATTAATAATTTATTTTTATTAAAATCTGTTTAAAAATTTATTCCCATACCTGTAGAGCCTTATTTAAGTCAGTTTTCTCATCCCTCTCTAAGTTAAAAATCGAATTTTACAATGGTTTTTAAAAATTAAATTTATTTACTAAAAAATATGGGACTTGAAAACTTTTTTTTGTTTATTTTCATTGCACCTGTTGGACCCAGAACAGTGTTAGCCGTACTGTACATAGCGGGGGGTGTGGGGGCTCTAAATACGAAAATATTTGTTATTAAGGAAAAGTAAAACAAAGTGGCATCAATGGAAAATTGCAGATCTTTAAGATAATAAAAACTACGAATTTTTGCTGGTTTCATATCTGGGTTAATTGCTTTTGTTCTATAGTAATTAACTATTTATGTAAAAAGTAAGCTCATTTAATCATTAATCAAAAATTAGGAATAAATGAAAACTAGGAGACTATAAAAACTGTAGCAAATTCAATCGGTTTCAAATAAAGGAACGGAGTCATTGCCACAAACTCAAATTTTCTAATTCCTTTCAATTTCTTTCTTCTGTTTCAGACAAAGGAATTGAGATTTTGTCACAAATTCTAATTTTCATATTCATATATTTGAGCATTTCAATGTCGTAAACCTTAGATACTTCAAACTATGAATTATTTTAGATCAAATAATGAAAGTTTGAAATATCAAAGGTTTTCGCCATAAGGTTGAAAAGATTTTGGGGATTTTAAAATCAAAGTTTGTAGCAAAGACTCAATTTCTTTGTTTTGTGTCAAACAAATTTGGTCTGGTTTTAAAACAGACATTTGATGGAAAGTATTTTTTTGGTAAAAATATTTCTGATGCCTTGAATATGCTGATCCCATACTGTACTCTTCACAACTAAATAAATAATTATATATTATGCATGTGCACAGGCACAATACGACACAAGGGGAACCCATGGGTACCCTTGGGGGTAACATAGGAACAAATTAAATTTTTCAAATTCGATTTTTTTTTTCAAAATTCGTATCTTTTTCATTTCACGGGCAACGCCGGGCACTTAAGCTAGTGTTTGATAATAAAGTGTGATTGGCACGGATCGTTTCAAACTTAATAAAAGAACGGAGTTCTCATAATAAGATATTTCACTTGCGACTTTGCAACATTATAACAATAAAATTTGATTTTAGGATTTGTTTTTGCCAATTCAAAGTTTATTTTAAAAAACATATTATTTTGGTAGACAATTTTAAATGTTATCTAGGTTAAGGAATCAAACAATTTTAATTTAGGATATTTTAAATAAAAAAGTAAGTTTCATTACCTGTTATCATGGGGTGATTCCTCAGCTGACCCTTCTCTGTTCTGACTATTTCTTAAAATAAATCAAAATTTAAAGAATCCATCAAAACGATATTTATTTTTTTCCAATTTTGAATTAATAATAATTCATACTAACTTTATGTTGAAATAAATGATGAAAGATCCAAGGGAAATCAGGAAAACTAAAAATTAGGAACATTTCTTATTTGTGTCACAGTGAATAATAACATCATAGTAATTCTTTACTTCGAACCCATGTTAAAATAAGATAATGACATTTTGCTTTTATTTGTTGCGTGTACTGGGCTACATGTTTTAATTTGTAAAGTTGACATAGGATTTATTGTACTTTTTAAGATTTATTTAGAACTAGCTGAAGGGCCCGTGGAAAAAAGGTTGACACTTTTTTTTGAATATTCAAAAAAATCTTATAGCCCATGACACCCCCTGGCCAACCATAAGGGTCCATAAAAAATTTCAGCCCATTCGGTCCAGCCGTTTGGTCGGCTAGATGTATGAATGTTTTGTTTTATTATATAGATGACAAGTCAAAACAGAAAACATTATTACAATTCAATTCGGATATACTTTGCTCAAGTTAATTTAGCGTGTTGTAACAAAAGGTTATCTATATCATGGTTGGGTCAGTCCTAGTGAACGATTTTTGGGCCCCCCCCCCCCTCCTATCAATTTTGTACATGACCAAATTAGTATTTATTTAGTATTATTTAGGGTTAGGTTAGGTTTAGACACTTTCTGGGCCAAACGCTGCGGCTAGGATGGGCTAGGGGGCCGAGCGCTGCGGCCACGGGTTAGGTTAGTTAAGACACTTTCTGGGCCGAGCTGCGGCTAGGACAGGCTAGGGGGCGGAGCGCTGCGGCCACATTTCTTACTTTTAAGATTCATGTCATTTAAGATCCATTTACAAAATTGATAAGAGGGGGGAGGCTCGGGGGGGGGGGGTCCAAAAATCGTTCTCTAGGAATATACCTCATGGTTGTTGTACCAAAAATAAGTAAAGTTGTGAAGGTTGGCAAGAACTGTGAAATAAAAGCAAGGACAATTTTGTAACCCACCCACCCCCTCTTTGGTGCGCTTTGTGTAAAAAGCAAGAGTTTGTCCAATTGTTCTATTTAAACTAAAAGTGCAATAAGAGGGAGAAAAGAAGAAAAATCCTACCTAAAGAAAATCCGACTGGGCCAAGGAATATATCGACGGTTCGGGAGAAATAAGATGCAGACCCAGATCTAGACCTGTTAGACCTTCAGAGTGGAAGTTTTTTTTAAATATTAAATTCATAGTTTTGAATTAATTTTATCTAAGTCAGATTTTAAATATTTTTTAAAAACAAGATAACAGTCAAAATTGTTGTTTACTCTATTGTATCTAAATTCAGACATCTACATTTTCTATGGCTCTTGCGAAAAATTAATACAACTTTATATTTTCCGTTTTTACCTCCTGATTTGGTCCTCTTTTTTAATTTTGGTGCACTGTGTATCTTTTTCATTGAATTCATAATCCTCCTCGCATCTATGTACATTGTTTATTATTATAGTTCACCTTGCAAGCTTTTCTAGCAACTTCTTTTGATTTTATATTGATTTTATAGCCGATATTTTCTTCGTAATTGTTAAAATAAAATTAAGTTTAAACAGTAGTTAAAAATCGAAATTTATCAATTTCAACCCTTCCCTTTCCGTCCCTTATTTTCCCTTCCTTTTCCTTCCTTTCCCTTCCTTTCCCTTACTTTCCCTTACTTTCCCTTACTTTCCCTTACTTTCCCTTATTTTCCCTTACTTTTCCTTCCTTTCCCTTCCTTTCCTTT